TACTATTTTATATATATATATATATATATATATATATATATATATATTTATTTATAATTTTAAATTTAGATTTATTTATTTATTTTTATTTTTGTATAAAACGTGTTTTGCTGAAACTCATGGATTTGATTCCCAGCAAAGTTCACATACATGAACTGATGAAAATTTATGCCATCAACACATCATAGATTTCTTCAAATAAAAGCATCTGCCAAATGCATAATGTCCATGTTAATACCTTGCGAAACTGGTAATAAAATTATGTACGCAGATTCCACAACCTTTCAGGCGTGTTCATGACCCTAAATGAGAAAATTTAGATTTATTTATTTATTTTTATTTTTGTATAAAACGTGTTTTGCTGAAACTCATGGATTTGATTCCCAGCAAAGTTCACATACATGAACTGATGAAAATTTATGCCATCAACACATCATAGATTTCTTCAAATAAAAGCATCTGCCAAATGCATAATGTCCATGTTAATACCTTGCGAAACTGGTAATAAAATTATGTACGCAGATTCCACAAACTTTCAGGCGTGTTCATGACCCTAAATGAGAAATAGTTACACAATTTCAGGGAAAACATTCTCTGTTAACCAGTATTTCTGATATCCCAAAAATGCATTTGTCTCAAATTGACCGAGAACATAATATAAAGTTTAAGAAAGTAAATGGGTCGGTTTGGATTTCATGTTGTCTGTTTTCTCTCTCCATCCCAGAGCACCCGGAGCGCTGTGCTCTGTATTTCATGTGCGGCGTCTGTGGCGGTCTGTTCCTCACACTCTTCGCACTAGTGGTTCAGATTTCCTGCCGTACGGACTGTAAACCTCATCACGCCGTCGCTAAGAAGCGTCCGAGACCCGCGGACTCCGACAGCGACACCTCTGACTCTGATTCGGACTGGGACTCGAGCTCGGACCTCTCGGCCCGACGGCACCGGCGCTTCGAGCGCACGCTCAACACAAACGTCTTCACGTCGGCGGAGGAGCTGGAGCGAGCGCAGCGATTGGAGGAGAGAGAGCGCATCATACGGGAAATCTGGATGAACGGACAGCCGGACGTCCCAGGAACACGCAGCCTGAATCGCTACTACTAGAGCGCCGCCTCTGATCGGACACATCCAGACGGGAAGCTACTAACGGGACGCTAAAGCGGCTGGAGTCGTCGCCAGTGTGGCATTAAACAATGTATTTTGCAGTGGAAATAAGCTCTTTGTTGAGGCGCAGTTTATCCCTTAGCTTCAATACGCAGAGGTGAAAGGTCAAATGCTGCGTTCAGACAAGTTGGGTTTGGGTGTGTTCCTACTTGATGTCTTGAAGTTGGAGATTTTCCGCAGCATGCGGCTGAACTAATGCTAAGGCTCATGGGAGATGTGGTTCAGTTGAAAGCTGGCTCTAGGAGTCTATAGGCAGCTCTGAGAGGCGTGATAAGCTCTAAGCACTGTGATTGGTCCTTCACTCCGCCTGTCAAACAGTGAGGACCGCCTTCTGTAAGGAGAGACCTGAGCAAATTAAGTGCCTTCCAGTTTGATCTGACATATACACATATACAGTACAGTGGGCCTAAAACGTATTTGGACACTTAAAAATATCTGAATGTGATTGCATTAGGAAGCAAACATAACAAACCAAGCTGCATCTGCAAACAAATGATGCTGGAGCTTCACTTTTCTGCATCAGTTTTGCTTAATGACTTCTCATCTCGTTTCAAAGTGGCCCAATGCATTTTTTGCTTACACTTTACAATAAAGTTCCATTTGTACTGGAACTAACAATGAAAAATACTTCTAAAGCATTTATTAATCTCAGTTAATGTTACTTTTAATTTTTACTAATACATTAAAAAATTAAAAGTTCTATCTGTTTATATTAGGCTATTTATGGTACCTGAGGTATAGAAGCCCATTTCCACCACGGGACAAAAAATAAATAAAAAAAGGTAATAGCACTGATCTATAATAGAGAATTATTATAGAATCATTATAAAGATCAGTGGGTTATCTTACAATTCAGACTTGCTTCTCGCAATTCTAAATAAACTATATAAAAAAAGGAATTTTTCTTGCAATTCCGATTTATTTCACATTTCTGACTTTCCTTCTCAGAATTGTGAGTTTATATCTCAAAATTCTGACTGTATATTTCACAGTACTCACAGAATTGTGAGATTAAATTTGCAATTACCTTTTTGATTTTTTTATCCTGTGATGGAAACAAGCTTCCATAAACATGAACTAAGCACAAACAGTGTTTGTATTAACTAAAGTTAACAAAGATGAATAAATACTATAACAAATGTATTGCACATTGTTAGTTAATGTTAGTTAATGCATTAATGGGGCCTTATTGTAAAATGTTACCCATTTTTCTTCATTTTTAACACTAGATCATTTCATTATCATCATTTTAAACCTAACAGGCTTCTTTTCTTTAAAAAATAAATGCAACTTGGCTTGATATTTTATTATCAAATGCAGTGACATACATGCATTTTTAAGGGTGACGTGTCCAAATATTTTTGGATATTTTATATATATATATATAGACATGCTGTAAAATCATTTCAGCCTTTATGAAATCTATTTTGATATTTAAATAGTTTTTGATACCATTATTTTTTGGATGAAATATTTTTATACTGTGGCAAAGCTTGCCTGATTGCTCAGGGATGCAATCCAAGTGTTCTGTGTATAATCTTATATTCTTTAAGGGGATGAGAGACATATTCAAATGTTCCTGCATAGATGCAACCGTGACCTCAAAGAGGCTCTTATAGGATCATGATGGACATCAACGTTGTGCCTCAAACACAAGACACATCTGCCAACACAGTTAATCACTCAATGACTTTAAGCAGTGCTTTCTGATTGTTACAACTGTGGTTAATGTGTTTCAGTTTCTGTTACATGATAATGAGGGCTCAGAATTAGTGTTGATGATACAAAACCATAAATAACACACTTTATATTCTTAAAAATAAAGGTTTTCAATAGTGATTATATTCAGCAAAGAGCTTCTTCTTATTAAGAACTAATTGTGGCTATATAAGGTTCCTGAGTTGGCTATATATATAACTGAAGTTTTTGCGGAAATTAAGAAGTTACTACAGGTGAATAGTTATATATATATATATATATATATATATAAACACCTTTAATAGAAAATGTTAATAGAAATGGCCATTAATAAATTTAAGACATTTAATGACATATATTGAAACATTTAATAAAATGTATTGATATATTTATATCCATTAACATTCTTACTACATTTTTAAGCAATACCTAAAAGTAGAGATCTCTAAATATTACTTAAAAAAAAATATGGCCAACTTTAATAGAACAGCCTTTAAAAAAAAAAAATAGTGTTAATATAATAGGCCAAGCTGATACACAGTCATAAAAGTTTGGTAAAGAGTCACTATTGTGGAAAGTAGCCTATCATGTAGTTTCCTACCTCTATGTGAAACCTTTATTTTTAAGAGCCCATTACCACACTGAGATCCTTTAATTTTTATTTTTTTTTTTTTTTTATTCAACAAGCCAAAACATGAAGTGACTCAACATTGGTATGCATGTGGATGTTTGTTTGAGCTCTTAAATATTGTAAAGCAGTTTTATTTTCCAGCAATATTTCAGCATGGTTTTTATAGGAATATCAGCTTGTGTACAGAGCAGGACCTGTGGGAGGTTTTGTTTTGGTTGTTATGGAGCATTAAATAAACTGCATTGAACAAACTGATCGTGTAGCGCCGCCTGTTGGTGAAGGAGCCACGAGACGCATGAAAGGAATTGTTTAACATCACCATGACAACCGCCAGTGTTGGCGGTCTCCATGGAGACCGTTATAAGTAAACCTCCTCATGGAAGCACAGCAGTCCCTTGAGAGAACAACTTAACTTACTTTATTTGCTTATACCTTTAATTTATTTGAAGCTAGATTAGAGTAATAAGCCATAATGTCTATAAATACAAGACACGGGCTTCCTTTCCTGCCAGGAAACTCATTTCGGGATTTAACGGTGAGACGTTAACCTCTAAGTTAGGCCCCGTTCATCTTTCTTCAATTGAGTTTACGTTTTTCCACGTAACGTTACTTTTTGTAAAATAAAAAAACTGCATTATTACATCTTTATAAATGTTTTTAAAACACATTTTAGATTTTCGTTGCGAATGAACGAAGTATTCATTCATTTATTCTTTTTTAATTCATTCTTTACATCTATATATCTTACAGATGGTCAAATATAATGATAGGCTATCATATATTGACCCATGATTTCTGTGCTGTCATCCAGAAATCCGCTTTCCACAGAGCTCAGACTCTGGGTTTTAAGAACGGTTACGCTCTGCCCCGGCGGCCCGCGGTCGGCACCGGACAAGATCCGCTGCTGTCGGTGAACATCAGTCACAGCGAGAGGAACCAGCTGATCAGAGACATCCCGAACCTGACCTACGGGACCGACACACACCGACCCCCGCCGCTAGACTTCATACCGGCACACGCTGCTTATGACAAGAAGGTGAAGAGTATCTATCTATCTATCTATCTATCTATGTCTGTCTGTCTGTCTGTCCATCAATCTATCGTTCTATCACTCTGTCTCTGTCATTCTATCTATCTGTCTGTCTATCCATTGTTCTATCATTCTATCTATATATTTACCTATCTATCTATCCGTCAATCTATTGTTCCGTCTTTCATTCTGTCTATCTATATCTATCCTTCAATCTGTCTCTTTATCTCTCTCTTTCTCTCACTAAATCAGAACCAACCTCTCACCTTTACCCTTTGACTTTCAGGTGCTGCGTTTCTATGGTTACTTCCGGCAGGAAGTGTTACACTCCCCGGATGAGCACTTCTGCATTCGTCCGGTGGTGATTTATTATCACCTGGAGGACGACAGCATGTGTGTGACCGAGCCACCGGTGGAAAACTCTGGAATTCCTCAGGGAAAGCTGATCAAACGTCAGAGGCTGCCCAAAAACCAGCGCGGAGATCTGTACCACTGGAAAGACCTCAATGTCGGGATGGACATGAGCTTGTTTGGAACAGTTTACAGGATAACACGCTGCGATGCCTTCACACAGGTACACACACACTGAGTCTACTAGATCTCTGCTTCTGATGGGTTTGGTTTGATGTGTGTGTGTGTGTGTGTAGGTCTTCATGGAGAGTCAGGGAATAGTGCTAAATGAGTCAGAGTCTATTCCCAATGATCCGTACACCATCCGGCGCGCTCAGGCACAACAAACCCACATCACACCCTACGACCACAATCATCAGCTGGAGCGCTTCCTCGCCCTGGATCGCCAGGTAAACACACACACACACACACACACACACACATGAATACATTTAAAGTCTTTCCCTCGTCATTTCTCTGCTGTCTCCAGGTGCTGCGTTTCTATGCGCTCTGGGACGACTCAGACTCTCTCTACGGGGAGAAACGGCCTGTAACGCTGCATTACTATCTGGTGGACGATTCGGTTGACATCTGCGAACATCACGAGGCCAACAGCGGCCGGGACCCATTCCCAGTGCTGCTCCACAGACAGAAGGTTCCCAAACACATCAAATCAACCTGCGGTGAGATTTCAACACAGAGACTAACCTGCTTCAGTTTTGTTGCTTTTTATGTTAAAAGAAGCTTAGACAAACCAAATCAGGGGATCCCAAACTTTGACAGCCAAACCCCTTAGATGTAAAATATTTACTTTATAATAATTAATATCCTCCTGACTACCAGCTATGGAGTTTTGTCCTCTGTAGAGGACATTGTTGCATGTCACAGTTTTAAGTCTGGATGTCCTGTACAGAACACATTCAGGGCTTTCCAGAGATACCAAAGTGACGTGACATGTGGCCAAGTATGGTGACCCATACTAGGAATATTTCATGATTGTCCACTGTAGAGGACACCAGGACTTAAAGCATGTTTATTACACATTTTGGGAGACACAACAAATGAATAGAGAAAAAATTATGTATCAATATTCCTATTAAATATTAGATATTATTATGAAAATCTTGCTAATTATTATTCCCATTATTGCACTTATTTGTTCATTCTATGTTGCAAATTAGATACAGTTTATAGATAAATTGTATATAATGGAAAAACTTGTTTATGGCCATTTTACACACATTTTGCATAAAGAAAAATGTTTTTTAAAAATATCTTTCATAACATAGTTGAGAATCGTCTTTATATGAAAATTGATTTGTGATTAAAACAAAAATCCCACTGTTTTTGCCTTTTCATGTCTTTTTATTTCTTAAAAAACAGGACTTTTTAAAGTCCCGATGTCTTCTACAGAGGACGTGGCATAACATATGAATAAAATATCATGTTCCAAAAATTTTATTTTTCAAATTTTTTCTTATGCTCTAAACAATGTAATGACATGACAAAATACTAAATTCACAAAACAGTTTTTTCCTGGTAGTCAGGAGGATATTTCAATAACTTAACTTCATGGTATATGAAGTCACCACTTTAGTTGAGGGGCCACACACATGATGAAATCATGAGAAGCTAATGCTTAGTTAATGATGACTACTGTATTTGGATTAGTGCTGGGCGGTATACCGGTTCATACCGAATACCGGTGTTTATTTTTGTTATGA